TGAGGGGCTTATTTATTTATTTGACCACTTAAAAGGGGGCTGTGTGAACTCCGTGTTCACTCAGTTTGACATGCCAAACTCATTTTATCAAATAATGAGCAGAATTATTCCATTTGCTGAGCAGAGTGCCACCATTCGAATGGAGAGTGATTAGCTGACAGTGGAAGTTTTGCCACTAAATAATAATTTGCATTGACCAGCTGGAAATCCCTTAATTCAGAATAAATATACCTGCAAGTGTATGAAACTGCTTAAATGGTGCGAACTTACACATGAAGCCAGTTTAACCTTGTACCTGCTGACAGGAATGTTAATGAAGAGGGAATCAACAAACGCCAGAGAGAAGATGCGCTTCGAGTGAGTTTTATTCGCTAAAATATGTGGTGTAATCATGTATTATCACCTTGTGTAAAGACGTTTGACATCTCGTAGCATCTTCATCCAGTGCGATGCGGGAATACCTCGTGCAATCGCAAAGTTAGCCCTCTGTGAGAGCTCCGTGTTAAACCCCCGCACAAACAAAAGTATCGCTCTGCCTTTGATCCAGAAGGACCTTGCGCTCCGTCTCCCCTCGGTCCTGTGCGGTCAAGGAGGCAGAGAAGTGGCTCGGAGGGACAGGCTGCATTAAGAGAAACACAAGAAGGAGGAAGCCCCATTCTCTCACTCCATCACACGTCTCATCTCTTTAGTTGTCTGGCCGGGGCCTAAAGTGACTTTGCTGTGATGTGACCAGGACAAACCGGGTGTGATGCCATGACGGCTCTGCTAAGCGTGTGAATGTGGGTGTTTTTAGTTCTTGCATGTGTTTGTGTATTTAGGGGCAGGGAGCGACTGTGTGTATGTGTGTGTGTGTGTGTGTGTGTTGAGGGGAAGGGGGCGCTTGATTTTGTGAGCGTGTAAAGAAAGGAGGGGTTAAGGAGGACAGTCACTTTTGATTTGGCCTCAGAAGGGTGACAGGGACTTGGAGCTCTGGTGGCATGCTTTACTGAAACAATCGTCTCTGACCACAAATAACCGCTCACAGACTGTCAGCCTGCCTCCTGATGACTTTTTCCTTGCTTTATTTTATTTTATTTTTTATTTTTTTTGCAGTGAAATTTCAGCGAGGGATGAAAAGCTTTTTTTTTCTGCCGTGTGACATCCTGAAAGCAGGCTTTAGTCTCTGTAGCCTTGGTGAGGCTGCTAATGCTTTGGATGAGACGCAAAAGTCTCTCTCTATACTTGATTGTTTGACAAGTTCATTTTACCTTACTTTGCCATCTTGTGTCAAGTGTATATTTGAAAAAAAAAAGAAAAGAAAAAAAAAAGTGTGCTATATTTCAAGGCTGTGCTCACAAGCTTAGAAGGAATGGGTTTTGAGTCCGGCTGATGGTCGAAGCTCGTGGGGGAGAAAAATGGAGTAGGAAAGAAAAGATGGGATGAACATTGGAGAGGTTTTTTTTTTGGTGTTTGTGTAGGGGTAGCTTGGGATTGGTTCCTCTGTAAAGGGGGTCTTTGACTGGAGGGAATTGGACATGCTGAAATTAAACAAGCCAATTAGGCAAGCAAAGAGTTTAGAGGTCACAGCGCACTCCATTAGAGCTCCTCTTCTCTACCTAACTACTAACTCAGTATGTCTCTGAGTCTGTTCAAGCAATAAATCTGATTAGACCTCTCCCTCTCTTTTCCTTTTCTCTCTCTCTCGGTCCCTGCTGTTGTTTTATCCTGCGCTCATCATTGTTTTTGTTAAATCTGAGGCACCGCTTAACGTCTTCGGGTGCAGTCGTAGCCGCGCGTTTTGCACAAACTCACGAGCTTTGCTGCATTTATTTATTTTTTTGATGCTCCTGGAGAAACCTTGTATCGGAGTGCGGCACCACACTCAGATGTTTGGACATGAATTACAACTGAAAGAGTTGCTCTAATTAAGTTTTAGCACACAAAAATAGATTTTCTCACTTACGTCTTGTGGAATGCACATTTAAAAAAAATAAAAAATAAAAAAATGTCCGAGATCAGCGATATCTACTGTGTATCGTACATTTTTGTTGCCAATTTATTACAGAAAAGGTGCATGAAATTTTGTTTAGAGCTGCTCAGGGTGATGATTAATTTCCTCTTTTGGTAATCTGCTGGTTTGCTCAATTATTCCTCTTGTCTATAAAATCTCAAAGAATAGTTAGAATTTCTACCGCAATTTTCAAAAGACCAAGAGGATGTATTAAAGCGTCCCATTTGTCCGACCAACATTCCAAAAACCACAGAAATTCAGTTTACTACCTGTCATGACAAAGGAAAGCATTGAATCCTCGTATTCGAGAAGCTGTAAGTTTGCCGCCGCTTAATTTTGTTTGAATAAATGCTGATTGCCTCATACAAAATTCCGTTCACCTAAATTGCGTTTGTGTGGAAGCACAAATTTCAGACATGAATAGATGAATATCTTAACTCATAACGCAGAGGTCAGTGTTTTTCTTTCCTTTTTTTTTGGTAATTTAGGTGAAGAGACCCTTTAAATCCACCGGTTCTCCTGGTGAATGCCTTCCTTTGGCTGTGATTAGCATGTTGTTTGTTTAATCGAGAGCTTGCCGGTGTTGAAACTGGGGCTATGAAAATGGTAGAAGAGGCAGAAAGGGAGAGACGGGTGGCCCCTAAATGCAACACTTGAGCGATGGCGGTCTTGCTCCAGCTCCTGATTCGGTATAGCTGGTTTTCTTTCACTGCCTCCTCCGAGCTGCTATCAGATACATGTCTCAAATGGAAGCTGCTGACCGATGTATACTGTACAGTGACCCTTTATTTTGCCATATGCATTGGCTGGAATTTAAAAAAGAAAGAGGAATAGGAATGGGAGGAATATGTCTTGGTGAATAAATGACTCCTTTTGTGTTTTATATGGCTCTGAGACGGAGCCTATCTTATAGACCAAGCTATACAATTGAATGTATCAGTGGCCCTGAGAGAAGAAGAGCAGAGAGAGGAGGAGCAGCACTGCTGTGTCTTTAAAGCTGCTCGGTTTGTCTCTAAAGGTTAAAGGTGAAGACTCTCAATACCTCCATCAAGCAATGTAGGAAAGAATATCTCAAGGTTAGACTGCCAATAGATTTTTTTTCTAAGAAATGTGTGAGGCAGAGGATAAAAACACTTGCGTCAAAACCTGCCTTTTGAGACTCTGAGGGACACGGTTATTCTGCATCCGAGTTTCTTCCTCCTCACAGTTCTTTCTATTACTTTAAGAAACACCAACCAGAGTGAAAGGTGTTGAGCTAGAAATGCATCGATCTATTTGTTTTTTTTTTTGAGCAAGGGAGGCTTCGGCGATTGTCGCCGTCACTCCATCCGCTTGTCCGCCGCCGTTCATAGGAGGTGTGTTTGTCCAAGTGGACGTGGGAGACACTGTGGATTTATCTGATCTTACAAGCCATCAGGTTGAGCAGAGCTTTGCTAAACATGACCTGAAGTGTGCCGGCCCCCGAGCAAACGCTGCTGTCACCTTGGTCAACCCGAGCTGTCATCTCTCAGAATGGCCCATGAGAGCTGACAGCTGTGGCGTTCCCAAAACAAATCACTGCTGCGTTTGGTAACACTCTGCGTCCTCGCGATTTAGCCCTCACCGAGACAAGAGCAGGAGCGGCGGCTGCTAATGCTCTGGCTAATGTACTGCCTGAATATGTGTGTGTGTGCGCGCGCGTGTGTGTGCGCTCGTCTTCTTCTACTCGCGCCGTGTGTGTATGCATGCTTGTGTTTGCTAGGGCTTATGTGGTTTCTCTTTGTTTTCCCGCCACCTCATTGCATGGTTCAACATAGCGATGTTCACTGCTCTCTCTCTCTTTGTCTCCTTCTGCACTCCCCTCTCCGTGGCCTTTCTTCCTGCATCCCCCTTCACTTCTGTGTGAGCTCACATTGCCTCTTGTATGTCATCTAACTTGTGCACAGCAGAAAAAAAAAAACACCAGCTATAATGTTTTATCTACACTCAAGCGAAAGTCCACTTACATCGGAGATCAATATTTGTGTGCCCGAAAGCCAGAAGTAGAGTAAACTTTATGGGCTGATAGATAGTAAACATTCAAATCGTGAGCTTCTCTGTGGCTTTTATTTTGTAAAAAAAATGTTAAATAAACTATAGCAGCGTTCCTCTAACGACGCCGTGAATCAACGAATACCGAGAGTTGGATCTTCATTCACTGACAGTTGAGCAGCTCTGCAAATTGTCATTAAGGGTCCTTTCTCTGTAGTTTTCAGCAAAACTTTGTGTTCACAACCCAGACTGAACTATGCAAGATCTGAAACGCTGAGGTGAAGGTTCAAGAGTGAATTTCCGTCTTAACTAGACAGCTGATTGAATATTCACAGTCGAAATGAGATGAAAAAAAAGTAAAAAAAAATAACAAGGAACTGAGGTTGTGTTTATTGATAAATTTAATGGTAAAGTGGTCTGTACTAAATGAGGTGTTTTTCTAGCTCAAAACTGTTTTGTAAAAGTGTTACACTTTTTAACTGACATTTTTAATGAGCTTACACACGCTCGCTCTCACACACACACTCCCACGCACACATAAATGAACCTGTCAGACACGGTTTAAACAGAGATTTTTGACTATTTGTTACTGGGCTGTTTTTAGACATCAAACTACAGCAGTTGAGATGTGGTTTCTATTGATGTCATTGTTTTTATGTCACAGTCATTACTGACATATCCTTACCCTGGCTTATCTTTAAAGGAGTGGTTCAGTTAAATTTACTTATTTTTTTCGGCACGTTACATGTAAATGAAATCAGTGATTTGCATAGAGCTACCAGCCGTATATATGGACTGAAAGGAGACGTTTCCTCTCTGGAAATATACCATACGACAGAGATTTCACTGCTTCTGTGCTCTACATTTCTGCTGCTGTACGTCTTTGTAAAACTACAGCAATCAAATGTGCAGATTGTACGTTTAATGGGGCAGCGTACTTTATTTTGATAAATGTTACATCCTAATTTGTGCTGCTGGTGTGTCATCTTTCATTTCCCAGCAGATGTTTGGAGGAGAGGCTTTTGTTCAGCTACACAGATGAACAACAGGAAGGAGGACATGGAGATCTCGTCTCACTACCGTCAGCTCCTCAGAGAGCTCAATGAGCAGAGGCAGCACGGCATCCTCTGCGACGCCTGTGTCATCGTGGACGGAAAGATCTTCAAGGCCCATAAGAACGTCCTCCTGGGCTCCTCACGCTACTTCAAGACGCTTTACTGCCAGGTAAAGGGTTTCGTATACAACGTTTTTTCTTGTGTGTCTTTTCAAAGAATGAAGCAGTTTCAGACGATGTGTGTAAGAAATAAAAGGTTGATTCCTGTTTAGCTCGAGATAAACAAGCAAGGTAACGCTCTGTCTCTTCACCTTGCAGGTTAAGAAAGGGGCAGAGCCTCATCACCAGACTACTGTCACTCACCTGGACATCGTCACGGCGACGGGTTTTAAAGCCATTCTGGACTTCATGTACTCAGCGCACCTTGCCCTCACCAGTAAGAATGTGATCGAGGTCATGTCAGCCGCCAGCTACCTGCAGATGACAGACATTGTCCAGGCCTGCCACAGCTTCATCAAGGCTGCACTGGACATCAGCATCCGCTCTGAGATGGCTGACGAACTGGCCGACTTTGAAATGGGAGCTGTTGCCGCTGCTGGCCTCGGCGGAGGTGGAGGAGGCGGAGGTGGTGGAGGAGGAGTGGGTATAGCGGGAGCAGGCGGTGTTGCAGGAGCTGGTTTAGGAGGTGGAGGAGGGGGGATAGTGGGCATGGCTTCTGAAGCCCTGGCCTCCATCATGTCTGGTCGCAGCACCTCCCCTTGGCTGGCGCGCCGCACCAGCCCAGCCAACTCCTCTGGGGACTCAGCCATCGCCAGCTGCCACGAGGGAGGCAGCACGTATGGAAAAGAGGACCAAGAACCCCCCAAGAGCCACGAGAGCCAGGAGGAGGCCTGCCACGACTCCCAGCCCGCCTGGCCACATGACTATAGGCCTGTCACTGTCAAAGAAGAACAGGTGTCCCCTGCTTCCTCCTCTCATCCCCGGGACACTCCCAGGGGCGCAGCCCAAAGCCAGGGGGAGCAAGGGGCTGGTGGTGCTGGTGGAGGAGGTGGAGAAGGGCCCTGGCAACCCCTGTCAGGGTCGGGGCGGAGGAAGAACAGGAAGAACAAGGACACAGTCAGACATATTACCCAGCAGGCTGAGAGGAACTGGGACCGGGAGCGGGACAGGGAGAGGGACAGGGACAGTAGGCCTGGATCCCCTCTGCCCTCCATGCTGGCTGTGGCTGGATGGAACTACAACGGGCAGGACATCCCAGGTAAGGACGACTAACCTCTGACACTGTTCAGTCTCCTATTTGTGGAAAGTGCTTTTGCAGCAATGGTAAAAACAAGGCAGGTGTGTTCAGGATTTAGTGGCTAGATTATCAGTTTAATGTCACCACAGCAGGTGGAATTAGCTTGGACAGGATCTCAAAATTGGTGGTATGGAGATAGGCCAAAAAAAAAAGAAAAAAAAGAAAAGCCTTTCCATCTTGGAAAAGTCTTTGCAGAGCTGATTTGATGACTTTGAGTTGCTACAGTTTCGTAATGCTGGCCTCTACTTAGCTATCCAGTCATGTAATTAGTGAATGACTGGTGAGATAATAAGATTAGGTTAGATAATTGGGTGAGAGTGTGATCTCAACACCTAACTGTAGCAAAATCTAATTTATCTTTTAAACTTCCTCTTCTAACCATTAGGTCAGTAGTGGCACTGAAGCATTGCTATGTTGACTTTTGTGGAGCTCATGTGCGGTACAGTGTGCCCGACACTTCACAATATAGTACAGTCGTGCTAAATAATTTGAATCCTGCATTGATATTTCAATGCATGTTAGCCATCCGCGCAGTTTACTAGTATAAAATGACCTCTTTTCCTCCTCCGGGGTTGAGATTAGCGAGCTTATACACTAACGTGTAAGGCCTAAGATGATTATCTCAAATCTTGGAGGTGTAAGGTGAAGCCTGGGTAAATGCAGATGGATAATACAATCCTCTCTTTACTGCAGTTTATGTAAGCCACACTCCCACATAAACAAACAAATGCATACACAAACACACTCATGAACACATATTTATTTTGAGAAAGCCTCTCTTGATCTCCCAGCCTTGCGGAATTGTTTAGCAAATTCCTTTACGCTAAAACTTAGACATGAAAAACTTACCTGTGTGTGTGTTTGTGTGTCTGTGCGTGTGTGTGTGTGTGTGTGTGCTGTGGGGCCCAAGGCGTCGATAGGTAGATCATTAAAAGTAAGAGAAGCTAATCCTGGGCGCATTAAGGGAGTTGGCTGTGAAATGGGCACACGCATCGCGCAGCGAAAGAAAACAGGATAATTGAATTGACCTGGGTCACTGCACGGATTACCAGCGTGTCCTCGCCATCCCAGGCTCCTCCCCCTCTCTCTGGGGTTTAGGGAAGGACCTTCTGGAAAGGGCGTGAGGAGGGAAACGGAAGAGAGAAAGAGAGGTAGAAGAGAGGGGTAATGAAAGAGAGATGGAAAAAAAAAACACAGAGAGACAAAATAGAAATGTGGATTGGAAAGAGCATATGTGTGGGCTTATGACGGTTCGTCTGCTTAACTGTTAAGTGTTCTAAGTCCCGGATCTTGTGACCTGCAGTCAGACCTTATTATGGTGGCCGAGTACATCTTGTCTAGAGCTTCAGAATCACACACACACACAGACGCATAATCACACACACCGTCAAAGTAAATGGCACTATTAAGACCACTGGCCAGTTCCATGGTTCTGTGCTGTGGTGGAAGGTAGAGTTTAAGTCTGGCTGTGGTTAATGTGAAAGGTGTTTTCTCGCCTAAAGGTTAGAGGAAGTCTAGTGTTGCTGCTGGTGTAGACTCGCATGGTGTTCGCCAAAAGACAACCATTTATCCTCGCTTGTGACCGGGTTTTGGGACTGGGCTCAAAATGGCGAAGAATTGGCGGATTGGGTCTCCTTTAAAGGGACGGCTTTGCCATTTAGCAGTGAAACCTCAGAGTGGTGGTGTATGTCAGGATACGTTTCACTATTGTGCGTTGAGTCAGGTTGCGGCGAGGGGGGGGAGTTGGTGTTTTTGTGCTTAGTGAAGGTTTGGGGGACTGTTGAAGAAGTTTTAGTGAGGACGTTATGTTTGTGGGAGCCTGTGTTGGTGATGTTTTGCCTGTGAGAGTGCTCTTTTGTTTCTATCATGCAAGTCAGGTCCAAAAATACACAGGAAGTCTGTGAGTTTACTAGAGTTAGCGTACTTAAGTCTGCTTAAGTCCAGGAATTTGTGACCTGCAGTCAAAGATCTGAATCAGATGAACAGGCAAATGGATGGGGCCTAAGAATTAGAAAGTGATGTAATACTATTAATGCTAGTGTATTAGAACGTGATTACATTATCTAAGTGTGTACTGGGAAAGAAATTCAGGGCTTGGATTTATCCGCTGAGATTGGCCCGGGGGAGGTGGAGGGGGGGGCGGGCAGGTCGAGTTGATGAAGGTTGATTACATATAAACACTCCCATGTTCAGGCACACAGAAAGAACCGGTAAAGAGATGAACAACTTTACAGATCTTTTATTTTTTTTGATGGTCCATCGGCTTAGCCTGTAGCAACTCACTGGGATTTGTTCCGATGGTCAGTATAAGGTCTGCAAATATCTGCTTAATAAGTATGATAATTTGGATTTTCAGTTGTTGCTTTACACATGGAAGAACATTTATATTGATGAAATATTTTAAGTACAAAATTAAAAATATAAGATAAGATAAGATAAGATAAGCCTTTATTAATCCCACAGTGGGGGAATTTGCAGTTCCAGCAGCAAAGGGGATATCAGTATAGAAATAAAATAAAAATATACAAGTACTAGTTTTATAAATAACAGTAATGCACATATCAATGGTATTGCATATGTTCTTTCATTAATAGAAATGCTGAGAGAAGTATTAATATTGCACAGATTATTATTTATATTATATTAATTTCACCATGAAAAGTAATTTAAAACATTCACAACATTTTGTTGCATTATTCCTCCAAATAAAAAAAATGAAAAGCTCTCATTGGTTTCTTTGAACGATGTGTCCACTGCAGGTCCACTACTGTACTCTTTAGGCAACAAACTCTGTAATTACCGTTCATTTCATCCTTTATTTGATTAGTTTTGCCGGTGTGTGTGCGGAACAAGTTCACTCAAGCGAACAAAAAGCTAATTATCTGTCAATTATACAAATCAGAGAGCATCTTCACATATTAGAAGCTGGAAACCTGTAATGTTTGCATATAAATGATTCATCTAGTATCAAAATAGTCGTTTAAGTTTGTGTTGATTGAGCAATTTTCACAGCAAACATTCTCCGCTGCCACAGCTGGAAAAGCAAAGGTGTAAATAATGGCAGTAATGATGGCTTCATCCAGCCACAATATCAGACACGTCTAAACAGAATGCAGCCATCATTAATGGTATTAATTACACTTGCGCTTTACTGGCTATATAATCTATCAAGATGTCTACCTGGAGAGCACTCCATAATTGATTAATCGACTAATTGTTTCAGCAGTATTCTTTTGTGTAGGTGGGTAGTTGTGGCATTAAGGTAAGGGACTGTTAATGTGTGGTGGGGCTGTTGTTGCATGAAGTCCAGTTGTTGGTTTCCATGAAGGGATATGGTGGGTATTAAGGAGAAAGGGCACCTTCAGTCTGAGATTAGCTTAATTGCTTCATTCTTTATTGATGAGAAGTGCCTGGACACTCTCTCTCTCTCTTTCTCTCTCTCTCTCTCTCCCATTCATCTGTAATCAGTGCTTTACTATTAGAAACGCACATATGACACACAACACTGGGGGCTGCCTGACCAAGGATTTCCACTGGATTACTCCGTAATATAAGGATAATATATGACTGTGTAAGGGCTCGGCGTATTAGCGCAGCAGCCGTTTCAAAGCATCCCATGAAAATGCCATGTGCCCGTGTTGACATAAACAGCTGCAGGAATTAGGATTTGTTTTCTTTAGATCCCCTTCCCTTGCAAACATCTGCTGTGTTCACTTGATGTCATTACTGAGGCCACTAAGCACTCAGCATCCTTTTCTCCCGCTTCGCTAATGCTTGATCTCCGCAGTTCTTAGACGCACCTTGTCTGCTGACACAAATCTTTGAAATCTCGCATGTGAAGCGGAGAGAAGAAATCGGCACCGCTTGCATTTCAGCGAACCGATCATGTGTATGTTTTTTTTTTTTTTCCTCAACGCTATATTGGAGGTGACAATTTTTGAGGAGCAGAGTTTTAAATAGTCTGTACTTCTCCTGCTTTGCTTATGTCCTGAACCTTTAAATAATTACCTAAAATTATTTTTAGTTTGGCCCCCAGCTGCTTCTTCCAGACCTGGATTAAAAAAGCGCCTGCGAATCAAAGACGGCAGCATTTTTGAATATTAAGAGTCAACAATGTTTAAACACTTGTGTATATTCCTCTTTGTGTCATTCATGTAGTGCTGAATTGAGGATTCAGTTAATCAGTTTGTTGGTTAATGATGATTATTTGTCAGGCAAAAAGTTCATTTGCTGGCTCCAGCCTCTTAAATGTGAGGATGCAATTTTCCTGTTCTTGTTTTGCTTTGTGTGTGAAGGGCCTATTCTTACTCTATTGATTTTTTTTTCTTCTGTTCTTAAGCTTACTTTGTGCAATTACCAGATTAATAAAAAAGTAGCATCCCAAATTCCATATCAAACGATACATCCCAAAAATAGACGTGCATGTGTTGATATATGTTTATATATTACTGTCTTACAAATATCTTCACACATCGGAGCAGTTTAAATAACAATACATGAGGAAAGGATTGCATCACAGTTGTGACTAAGTATTTCTAAAATACTTTCTTTGTCCACGAAGGCCTTACTTTCTGAAAATTTCAGTATTTTGTTTACATTTCCTGCTTTTGTTCATTTAATAAAAGTAGGTGTCACCTCTTCAAAAGGCGGATTTGTCGTTTTAGAGGCAGAACTCCTTTTTTTTTTTCTGTCTTTGGCACCTGCCCTCTCAGATTTAGAAGAAGCCAGAGCTGGTGAAAACATGAGTTAACGATTGATTTCTCTCCTACTGCCTTTATACTTGGGGCAAACACCAACTTGATCTTTATCCCACATAATAACAGCACTGGAAATACTTTTTGTGTTTTCTGTTGGTATTAAAGCGCGCACACACACACACACACATACATACACACACACACACATGGTGACCTTTAGTGGCAGCTTGGGGGATTTTGGCAATCCGGTACATGGCCGGTGTG